AAATATTAATTTTTTATTATATTTAGAGAACAAAATACTTTCTTGAATATTTTCAGAAAATGCTTTGATAATATTACAACAAAAAACAAACTTTTGAGAGAGTTAAGTTGTCTCAGATTGTTGTATAATAGTCATCAGAGGAAAAGAATACTTTCTAAGATACTAAAAAAAAAAAAAAAAAAAAANAAAAAAAAAAAAAAAAAAAAAAAAAAAAAAAAAAAAAAAAAAAAAAAAAAAGAAGTCTACTTAGCAAGGTTAAAGTTGTGTGCTAACTGAGACAATGGATACTTATGCCTGATTTCTCATGTTTTTTTTTTTTTTTTAATCATATACGTGAAATATTAGAATTTAATTAGCAACAAATAATAAAATAAATAGGAAGTGCAAGAAATGACTTCAGAAAGGAATTAAAAGAACACAGACATGATCTAATGGGAAGTAACATAATTATGTTGATTAATTTAATGCTAGAAAAACATTGAAGTGGAAAGAAGCAAAAATGAGACAAGTTGCAGAAGTTTTCCAATGTCCTAGCTGAGTAATTAAGGATAGCAAAACAAATTTATAAAGTATAAAATAATATAACAGGAAGAAACTAAAACCTTGAATTTGGGTTTTTATATAGACTGTATAGAATAAATATTGTTTTAAAAATATTTACAGTTTATGTTGAGTGATTAATAACAATAAATATGTAAAAATTGATTTTAAAAAATTCTTATTTTATTACTTCTTCAGTTTCTAAGCAATAACATCATTATGGATTCCATGCTGTTCATCCCATTGTACATAGTTGTTACACAATGATACATATGTGTATATTAGTTATATTTTTTGTTGTCTATATATATATGCCCTATTACTTCTTTTTATTTCATTTTAACTGTTTGCACAGTTGTCTCTTATATTTGAATGTTTAACAAACAACTTGACACCTAAATGCGAATTCCAGCATATAATGAACAAATAAATTTTAATGTTCAAATGTTTTCACCTATCTTTCAGAGGTCCTCATCAGGAAAGAATGCACAAAAACAGAAAAAACCATTCTATCTCTTGAAAAGTTTTAGCTTTCAAATGTAGCTGTGTTCCAATTTTTAAAAAATTTAAACAATGTTCAATACAAAGATTGTTACGAATTACAACATATAAATAAATTATTTTTTTAAATAAAGCTATACATAAATTCATTAATATAATATATGACGTTGTAAAAGTTAGCCTGATGTTTTAAATGTCATATATTATATTAATGAATTTATGTATAGCTTTATTTAAAAAATAATTTATTTATATGTTGTAATTCATAATGATCTTTGTATTGAACATTGTTTAAATTTTTTAAAAATTGGAACACAGCTACATTCAAAAGCTAAAATTTTTCAAAAGTAGAACTGTTTTTGTGCATTCTTTCCTGACGAGGTCCTCTGAAAGATGGCCGAAAATGTTTGAAGTAGGGTTTCTCAAATGGGATTCCAGCTATTTTTTAACCTGGGAAAGCCCACAAATTTCTTACAGATTCATTGTTTTCTTATTTTGTGTTAAAATTGAGGAAATTTTGCAAATAGAAAGTAAAATTATTAACCCATTAATTGTCAGAATACATTTGTATTTATTATTTTAAGCCTGCTTATTAGTTTTTTAAATTTTTGCTTATTATGGCATGTCACAGATTGTCAATAATCAATATGTAGCCTATTTGTGGCATGACTCTGAAAATTCTTTACTTGTCAGAACCTGTAATATCTGAAATAATTGTGCTTATGCTGTCTTAATTTTTAACCATGCCCAGTATTTTCAATAGCTGCATAATGCCAGGTTGTGCAAATTGGGCAAGGATGCAAATGAGTACAAAGTCTGCAAGTATGAAATTTTTCTTCATAAACCTGATTAAAACCAAATGAACTGTCGAATTATCGGGCTGTAAGCTCAATGCCGCTATTAAAGCAGATGCGGTAGACAAATCAAGAATACAAGACGGCAAAAGAAATACTGTAAAGCATTTTGAAAACGAACTAGAAATCTTTCAGGTGAAAAACATATAACATCTGTATTCTCTTAAATGCATTAAAGATGATTCCACCCACATTGATTGAATTGAAAAGGGCATACTCGGTAGCAGGACTTTTCTTTAGTAAAATAAGAATCAAATTGTGTGATCAAAGTATCATCCATCTTTGCTTTTTAAAATCTTATAATACAAATAGTATTGTAAATTTTTATAATGTTTTATTTAAATAAAAAAAATTACCTTCTAACTTAGAAGTTTGATCTAAGTTCATTTTTTCTTTAAATTTTTAACTTAATTCAAAGGCATTTTTTTTGCATGCAGTTTCCAACAAACTTTAATAAACTTTTTCTATTTGTGAAAATTTCTACGTAACTCAAAAGTAATTTTTATACATATTTTACACAGCATTATTAATATTATTTTGGAGATTGCAGGACGTACTAAGTTACTTAAAAATGAAAAGTAATTATATCATACGATTTTAAGATTTATTCTATATCTTAAAAATAATTAATTATATCCCAGGAAACAGTTCACTTTTATTCCGGAATCCTGGGACAAGCAAAAGACTGGTAAATATGCTGGAATTCGCATTTAGGTGTCAAGTTGTTTGTTTAGTATACAATTCCAGTTTGTATGCCAGTTTTTTACGTATGATTTGAATGTTTGTGATAAATATGTGCATTCTCCTTTATATGTACAAATATGTGTATATAAAGGATAATGCATATTTGCTCTGAAATTTTTGTCAAGTAATTGTAAATTTTTAAGTCTTGTTTACCTTCTTGTGAAATGTCAAACTATTCTCTATTATTCTGTAACATAGGATTATACATAATAAAAATACTTTAAATAATGCATTGTGTAAAATTATTAACGTAGGATGTAGAAATTTGATGTCTTCTGTTTTAACCCCAGTACATCAATGTGTGATTTGTCTATGTAGAAAATGCATGCCATGCAAGTGAAGTTGGTCTATGTATAGATAAGTTAGATTAAATCTTATCCTCCTTTCACATAATTTTAGAGTTAACTTGTCTTAGATTGTGCCAAAGTGGATATAAGGAAGAATATAATAATCTATCTGGAAACTCTGGTGGTATGTTTATGTAAACATACATAAACACAGAGTTCAGTAGAAGCCAGAGAGGAGAAGAAGGTCAACTTCACATCTCCTGCACTTTACCACATGGTCATCAAAAGAAGTGGATTAGTTATTTGGTTTATAAAATTGATAGTTTTTTGTGCCAATCTCTGAATTTTGTCTCCAGAAATGAAATGAAAAAAAAGGAAGCAGAAAGGAATAAGTGTTTTCTTATTCAGTTCTTGTGAGTCGCATACACACTGTATAGGGAAGATGGTTATTTTTGCCTTGTTCTGTTCACTTGTGAAAAGTTAATAGTCATAATGTTTTTCTTTTATAAAATTTTTTTTCTGCAAACAATTCTCTTGACTGCATTTACTCATTCTGCTCCTAGACTTTATGATAGAGTGGTGGGCATCACTCTAAATATGTTGTAATGGCATGGACTAACCCTCACTGACAACAGCTGAAATCATTAAAATTAGGAATTTGAACTTGCCTTTGAAAATTTTTTATTTGTGCATTTCTGTTTTGAAACAAACATTGAAAATTTATTGCTATTAAGTTTTTCTAATAAACCTATATTTAATTATTTTTATTAGCACAATATAAACATAAAATTTTTACTTTGATACCAAATAAAAATACTTTAAAAAATGCATTGTGTAAAAATGAATCTTTTATTGTGTAATAGTTTGTTTGAAGTAAGTTATATTTTGTCTGTAAAAATTTTTTTATAAATACAATGCACCAACCTTATTATGCTTTGCAGTTATTTTGGAATGTAACACATTTTTGATCCATCTTAGGAGCTTCTTCAGGCAAAGTTCTAAAAAAAATATTTCTTCTGGCATGATTGGTGTTCCATTCAATTCTGACGTATTCTAATTTTGAATGCTTCTATTTTTTAATTTAATTTTTTTTTAAATGCATGCGTCTGCATTGGCTGTTATAGCGTCAGGTCATACATAGTCTGCCATGCCTTTGAGATTTGTTTTTTGTTGTTAAAATAGACCAAAAAGCCTTGGCAGTTTGCTTTAAAAATCTCTAATGCTTCCAAATTCTTAAGTTGGCTTATATGACTAGTTTGTCAGATTATGGTAGCTTGTGGTAGTTTGGGTGTAATCTCATTTTCACTGGCATATATGGCTAAGGTAATAGTGTTTTTCTTTTTTCAATATATTCAGTGAAAATGAGATTATACCTGAACTACAACAAGCTACCATAATCTGACAAACTAGTCATATAAGCCAACTTAAGAATTTGGAGGCATTAGAGATTTTTGAAGCAAACTGCCAAGGCTTTTCAGTCAATTTTAAAGACAAAAAACACAAATCTCAAAGGCATAACAGCTAATGCAGATGCATGCATTTTTAAAAAAATAAATTAAAAATAGAAGCATTCAAAATTAGAATATGTCAGAATTGAATGGAACACCAATCACACCATAAGAAATATTTTTTTTTTTTTTAGAGCTGCCTGAAGAAAGTCCTAAGGTAGATAAAAAAAGTGTTACATTCCAAAATAACTGCAAAGTATAATAAGGGTGGTGCATTGTATTTATAATTAATGCTTAGTTTAGTGAATGGTTTTTATATATATAATTATTATTTGNGTTTTATTATTAAGTATTATATATTATAGACTTATTAAAAATTTAGCTTAAATTTATCTATTTCTTGAGAAAATGAAATTTGAAAGATATATTCTGTTCATATTTAAAATTATCTATTTGATTTTAAAATAAAATAACATTTTGATACGTTTTTTTATTTAGATTTATATTTTATAAAAGAAACAAACTCTTACTAATAAATGTATTAAATAAAGAATTTCAATGATTGGAATAAATTTTCTATTGTAGAAATGCAAAATAATTTATAATGGTACTGTTTTTAATTTATGTGAAGCATATTGAGATAAGATGCCTTGTTTTATGAGTTTTATACATAATTTATTTGAAATATAAAGATGAAATGTTGCTTATACTCATATTATGTAACAAAAATGGAGTATAATCTTATTTTTGGAGTAAGTTTGGATATTTATTTATTCATTCATATGTACAGTACAGTACATTCCTAATACATGAAATTATGCAAACTTGATTTAAATTTACAATGCTTGTTTTAGGATAAATGTCATCAGTATTGGCCAAGTGAGAGATCTCAGCGTTACCTGTACTTCGTAGTAGATCCAATAACAGAATATAATATGCCACAATACATACTTAGAGAATTCAAAGTAACAGATGCGAGGGTAATTAAATTATTTTTATTCATTTATTTAATTAAGAATATTATATCTTCATAACATGAAATAATTGTAAATCAATATTTTTGATTAAATTAATTTTTAATAAAATTTTATAATGCAGGATGGTCAATCTCGTACAATTCGACAGTTTCACTATATTGATTGGCCAGAGCAGGGCGTGCCTAAATCTGGAGATGGATTTATAGATTTCATTGGTCAAGTACATAAAACAAAAGAACAGTTTGGTCAAGAAGGACCAATTACTGTACATTGCAGGTAAGCTTATTTTTTCAAAATAATTTTCAGTTTTAAACTGACATATTTTAATAACAATAAATATTTTAAAGTGCTGGAGTTGGTCGAAGTGGTGTATTTATTACATTAAGCATAGTTTTAGAAAGAATGCAATACGAAGGAGTAGTGGACATGTTTCAGACTGTCAGAACTCTTCGAACTCAAAGGCCAGGGATGTTACAGACTGAGGTATGTATGCAAATATATGTTGTGTAACTTTCCTTTAATACAAAATAAATTCTATGAAAATAACTAATTATAAATTATCAAACTTTTTATTTTAGGACCAGTATCAATTTTGCTACAGAGCTGCTCTCGAATACTTAGGTTCATTTGACCATTATGCAAACTGAAGTTATCACACTGCCTGTTTTTCATGACAAAATCAGCAACAAAAAAGTATGTCGTTATGATTACTGAAATAAATGAAAAATTATGCACTTATGTACTGTATTAATAATACTAACAGCATATAAATTTAGAATTGCCCTTTGCCTATTATTAATTTTGTAAGTACAGATATAAAATTCTTTGATACAAGAAATAAAATGATAGTATAACTTTTCTATATTTTAGGGTTATAGGTATCGAAATGCTTATATAGCAACACAAGGTCCACTTCCAGAAACCACTGAAGATTTCTGGAGAATGTTATGGGAACATAATTCTAATATAGTTGTTATGCTCACAAAATTAAAAGAAATGGGAAGGGTAAGTAAAGATCATTTTTAAATAAAAAGAAACTCAAACTGTTTGTTAAGGAAGCCAAAAATAATAATTTATTAGGAAAGTTTTCAATCTACTGTTAAACCTGCTTCAGCTACCAGCTAACTGATGATGTGCTCATTACCTTGGGTTGGGTGTAATTAACTGAAACAGGCTGAACAATAACTGAAAACTTTCCTAATAAACTGCTTTTAAGGAAGCCAAAAACAAGAATTTAAGTTTCCATTTATTTTAATAAAACTTAAAAATCATATTTATTTCCCAAGAGATGATTTTTAGTATAGGTCTGATAAAAATAAAATGTTTTAATAATGAAAAATGTAGTTTAATTAGACTGAATACAGTCGACCCCCGTATAAGATCATTGATTATTCCGTTTTATATGAATTCCATGTTGTACAAGTCACTTAAATTTTACAAATACGTGAGCCGTTCACAGCCCGGTACACGTATTTGTAAAATCTAAGTGACTCGTACAACATGGAATTCATATAAAACGGAATAATCAATGATCTTATACGGGGGTCGACTGTATTTTCAGCATATGATGATAAAATTAGTTTATAAATTTGAAAAATTTAAATATTAATTATTGTTCCTTCTATTAAGTAAAATTTTAAAGTTTTATTATTAAGTATTATATATTATAGACTTATTAAAAATTTAGCTTAAATTTATCTATTTCTTGAGAAAATGAAATTTGAAAGATATATTCTGTTCATATTTAAAATTATCTATTTGATTTTAAAATAAAATAACATTTTGATACGTTTTTTTATTTAGATTTATATTTTATAAAAGAAACAAACTCTTACTAATAAATGTATTAAATAAAGAATTTCAATGATTGGAATAAATTTTCTATTGTAGAAATGCAAAATAATTTATAATGGTACTGTTTTTAATTTATGTGAAGCATATTGAGATAAGATGCCTTGTTTTATGAGTTTTATACATAATTTATTTGAAATATAAAGATGAAATGTTGCTTATACTCATATTATGTAACAAAAATGGAGTATAATCTTATTTTTGGAGTAAGTTTGGATATTTATTTATTCATTCATATGTACAGTACAGTACATTCCTAATACATGAAATTATGCAAACTTGATTTAAATTTACAATGCTTGTTTTAGGATAAATGTCATCAGTATTGGCCAAGTGAGAGATCTCAGCGTTACCTGTACTTCGTAGTAGATCCAATAACAGAATATAATATGCCACAATACATACTTAGAGAATTCAAAGTAACAGATGCGAGGGTAATTGAATTATTTTTATTCATTTATTTAATTAAGAATATTATATCTTCATAACATGAAATAATTGTATTCTTAATTAAATAAATGAATAAAAATAATTTAATTAAGAATATTATATCTTCATAACATGAAATAATTGTAAATCAATATTTTTGATTAAATTAATTTTTAATAAAATTTTATAATGCAGGATGGTCAATCTCGTACAATTCGACAGTTTCACTATATTGATTGGCCAGAGCAGGGCGTGCCTAAATCTGGAGATGGATTTATAGATTTCATTGGTCAAGTACATAAAACAAAAGAACAGTTTGGTCAAGAAGGACCAATTACTGTACATTGCAGGTAAGCTTATTTTTTCAAAATAATTTTCAGTTTTAAACTGACATATTTTAATAACAATAAATATTTTAAAGTGCTGGAGTTGGTCGAAGTGGTGTATTTATTACATTAAGCATAGTTTTAGAAAGAATGCAATACGAAGGAGTAGTGGACATGTTTCAGACTGTCAGAACTCTTCGAACTCAAAGGCCAGGGATGTTACAGACTGAGGTATGTATGCAAATATATGTTGTGTAACTTTCCTTTAATACAAAATAAATTCTATGAAAATAACTAATTATAAATTATCAAACTTTTTATTTTAGGACCAGTATCAATTTTGCTACAGAGCTGCTCTCGAATACTTAGGTTCATTTGACCATTATGCAAACTGAAGTTATCACACTGCCTGTTTTTCATGACAAAATCAGCAACAAAAAAGTATGTCACCAAATTATCATCATTTCAGTGAACAAATCAGTTTATTTAAAATTCAACATGATTATTCAAGTCACAATTGAAGAAGAAAACATTAATATTCTGCAGCAAGATTTACAATGGATAAATTACTTGAGTCACAGAAACTCAACTTCTCAAATGTGAAATACCTCTAAACATAGACTACTAAAATACAAATTATAGCAGAAACTTATCATAGATACATATATTATTATTATTTTTATTTTTTGTTGACAATTTCAAATTGCACAGTGAACATAGGTGCTGATATATAAAATCATTATTTGTTGTCTGTTAAAAGGCAGCAGGATCCCATTCCTTCCATGTGGCATATTGTCACACTTATATAAGCCTTGTCAAGTTCCTTATAAGTCATTCTTTAAAAAAAGAAAACATGTTCAGATTTACTGAAGATATCATCATCATCATCATCATCATCACCGTCAACCACCACCACCACCATCAAATATTCTAAATGTTCACATTTTGTTAATAGATATATTTGAGTGCTTTGCCAGTGAGATCTCATCATTTCCAGGCAATTTAATATTTTATAGCTCAAAGTGAATTCTGCAGCATTCAACAATTTTCGGAATAGATTGTATCGTGTCGTGTATTGAATTATATCATCTCAAGAAAATATCCGCAAAAGAAATACTTCTCAGAAAGCTTTGGAGATGGTTTTTGAATGTGTAAATATTTGGCATTTTATATACAAATTTTGTTTATATTATAACTAATTTTATATTTATATATACACACATTCCTCAAATTATTTCAGTGGCATCCATTTATAACTTTTTTAATTTTTTTAATGTTTGAAAAAAGAAAAATCTTTCTTTATATCATTGTAAAAATTTCAGATAGATTATTATAATGAGACAAAAAAAAAGCCTAACAATATAGTGCCTTTTTATATATAATTTCACTTGAAACTATTCTCTAAAATGTATTCATGGCTGAAAAAAAAAAAAGAAAATTGTTTTTATTGCCACTGTCTTCCATTAATATACAGTAGGTCCACAGTGAAAAAACTTTATTCACCAATTTTTGTTTAAAGTAGATGAGGAGAAACTACACCTATTTAAATGAGAATATTATACAATTATTTATAAATTATATATACATATGTACATTTAAATGAATTACAGAAGGAATGTAATTTTCTTTCTAAGATTTATAATAATCTTATGTATACAAATAACATATCACAATTATTTTATATGTTGTTGATTTTTTAGTTATCTCAGGAAGATGACCAAATAAAATTTTTTTTCTTAAAAAATTTTTTAATATAAAACATGAATATTATCTAATTACTACCCATCATAACTATGTAGTTTGAAATATTTTCATCATGAAAAAAATTTAACAGTTATTCTAATTCTCAAAACATTAGTAAACGGATTGTCTCAATAATCTGTACAAATCTTAAATATAGTCAATGCTATTTATTGAGCACTCACTCAAAAAATTGGCACATTTTATCTTACTCCAATACATATCACTTTCTTGGCATTTACGATTCTAGAAAATTAGTAATTAGTTCTTACTTTGTATCTTGATATACAATTATACAATTTGATACAAATTATCATTATTATAATTAATTATAATATAAATCTCCTTTCAAATTTTTATTATTTTTTCAGACAGACAATCATTTTAAATCATTATTTGTAAAAGGAAACTTCTGTATCACTGGTGGACCATGTGTTATACAAAATTAAAAAAAAAATGGAATATTTGGGTTTGCTTTCTAAATTTTGAAGCCAAAATTAAGTGTTTTAAATCAAGAAAAAAAATAATAAAAGAGAAAGACGATTGTGAAGATGATTAACGATAAAGAATTACTTTTACTTCTTTTATGGAAATGATTTTTTCATAATATACATTTTATTAAAAATGTCTCAGTAAACGAAAGTTATTAAAGTTACAAAGTGATTGTGACTACTGATAATAAAAATTGATTAAATATTTAATCTGATGATTGTTGTTTTTTTTGTGTGTTTGTTGTGATTATTAACATCTGTTCATTTGAACAAATAGATCTTAAGTAGCTGAATTTCTTACGTTAATTGAAAATTTTGAAGTGAATTTAACTATTATGCATGATTGCCATAGTCATGACAATTGCACAAATCAGTTATGTTTTTCATAAATTCAGTCTTAGCTAAAAATCAAACCTCATAGAGTACCATTTAGAAATGGATAGATTTATTACTACTACTAGATATAGTAGAGCGTTGATCAACCGAAACGTCGGTTAACCTTAAGCGTTCCAGTCGGACTGTGTCATGCTGAATCGAACGTTTTTTATACTAGATTAACTTATAAAGTATAATTTTGTTTGTACAAAATAAATAATTTTTAACGATACAATTATTACGCAATGATTATAAAAATTTTCGTTAGGCTTAACATCAACGAAAATTCAACGCGAAGCGACACGCAACGGAGAAAAATTTAAACATGGGATATATTACTGGCAGGGCTGTGGAGTCGGAGTTGGAGTCGGTAGATTTTTACGCGACTCCACAGCCCTGATTACTGGGGACATCGGCGGCTAATTACAGAACGATTCCGTAGCCGTAGTTCTGTTTTTTTACCACGAGATGTCGCTATTTCGTGACGTCAAGAAGCTCGACAAGCACGTTTCGTATTAGAAATTTGCAATATTTTATTTTACAATTAACGTTTATCTTTGAGATGTTCCATAAAACCAAACTCAATTTTCGCCATAGGGCCACTCCAATTACCAAACGATCGTGACCTTGGTAAATATCGGGCTATAANTTGACAATTAGAGGTAGGCGTTAGGCGCCATCTCTTAATTAAATTAATAATTAAATAAATAAATTTAGAACATTCTGGAATAAAAGAACTGGCCCGGGACGGGGCTTGAACCCGCAACCTCCGCTTGCCAGTTACGCCACCGGGCCCAGAGTAAGTCTTCGCTTCCAGACGTATATTACATTAGATAAAACTTTTCTTGGTTAAAAATAAAAGAACAGCCCCGTCCCGGGCTTGTTCTTTTATTCCAGGAGGTTCTAAATTTATTTATTTTATTTATTTATTTAATTATAATTATTAATTCACTTAAGAGATGGCGCCTAACGTCTACCTCTGGTGTCAAATTACTTTATACCAATCATTTAAATAGCCATATTATAGCCTGATATTTACACAATCGTTTGGTGATTTATGTTATACTACTCGGACTTTGCGATGTTATTAGTTAGATCTATGACATTTTCAGAAAGTGGTTAACAGTAAAGATATTACTTCAATCTTTGTTCTTCAAGTAGAAATTGTCAATTACACTTTTATTATTTTCTTTGAGGATTTCATTTCGAATTTCAATCATCAACAAATATTCTTTTTGCTAGTAATGTTTCTGTAAAAAAAAGCAGTTACCTAACAACCACTTTTTCCATAGAGATGCTTCATTTGTTATTGGTGCGGAAAAATTAAAATAAAATTTATTTGTAGGTTTTTTGTTCTAATACTTATTCTGATTACAGAGGATGTTTTTAGAATATGTTTATTCACAATGTTGCCAAACTGTAGGCCAACTTGGTGTTTATCAAGTTGGCCTGCAAAAGGATCCCACACGTCTTTTCTCATCAGAAATACCAAACACTCATCAGTTTGGTAACACTCCGCAGGGTGCATACTCATCCATCGAACCGGAAAGGAGTTGGAATACATTGGAGCAACCAGCGACAGATCACAAAGATCATTATACGGACATTTCTATGAGTCGATTTTCCACCTCACTGTCACCTTATGCCTCCGACCTGGATGTGGAAGTCCATTTGAATAGGACCTGGGTTCTCCACCGAACGTCCGACAGAGCACAACTCCGCTACTTTGAGCTGCTAGAAATATACAAGGCAGCGTTGAATAAGGCGGCCATCGACTTTAAACATGCCACGTTCCAGAACCCGTGGACATTTTTCTTCCACCTCCCTTAACTACGGTTGTATATGGGGAACGTCTCCTCCAATCAGCGGACACAACACGTAGTTTTCGAATATTTAAAAAGAATGTGGTTCGAATTTCATAAGCGATATCTGATGAAATATGTTCGAAAATGTTGGCGTAAGTGAAATTTTTGCTGATATCTTGACTTTTGTCTATGTTAATTTATTTTTATCTAATTTATATTAATGGTAAAAAGACAACAAAAATAATTTAAATCTGTAAAGATAATTTTGTACACGTGTTCTCAATAGACATGAAAAAAGAAAAAACATATATTCAAGATTTTACAGGAATGATTTTGTATTTCATCTAACAAGAATACAATTAGCCAAATTAAAGATGAAATATTTTAATAAAATATATTTCCATTCTGTACAAATATTGTGGTCCCAAATATTTAGACAGTGTTTACACAATATGGCACGATGATTGTTCTTCTGGAAGACCAAAATATACATAGTGATATTTGTTCATGATTCTATTGACCGTGTCTAAAAGTAAGCAAAGCCTGAGGCAAGTCACATGATTGGACCTTCTACTTCCGGTAGAACGTGAAAGTTGTGTTAATAGTCGATGCGATAAACATCGTATCAATCACGTTTCTTTAAATAAATATATTGTCTCCTAAAATTATTGTTAGGATATATTATTGTTTATACATAAACTAAATTTAATTCGACTTTCTTCTCCATTTCTTTGACACTTTTTTTAGAGAAGAAAGTGCAACATTCCTCTCTTATTCTTGCTTTGTTTACTCAATACTATTCAGAAGCGTCTACAATTACTAAAAAAACTCTTATTTATATTTAAATTAAATATTTTCGACTTTTTAAAGTTTTCTGCAGTGTTTTTATATGAAGATAATGCTCCATACAAAATAATTTTGAAATATATTTTATATATATAGCCTATTGTCTAAAGAGATCCTATGTATAGAATTTTATAAAGGGGAAAAAACTTATTAAAATGTTTAAAAAAATAATTTAATTAAACCTTTAAATGGTTCTAGAAAATTAGGCAATGAAAGGCTAGCCAAAGATGGGATTACTGCTCCTAAAAAATTAATTTTAATAAAAAACAAAATGAAAGTTTCTTTATCATTAATTTTAATTTAAATATAATACTGTTTTAAAGTAATATTATTTACTCTAAAAACCTTGTTTAGAAATGCATTTAACTTATTGCTACAGAATAGTTTGTCTTGTTTAGAAACGTTTAAATAAAGATTTAAAGAAAGAAATGTCTTGTTATTTACTTTTAAAATTTAAAAAATTGTTGGATCATTTTCACTCGCACCATCTCAGTTAAGGGTTAAAACTCATCCTTTCCTTTGCATACTTTTACACAACGAATTAGAATATTGCTCGTAGCCTTTAATTAAACAACACAAATGGCACGCTCTTTTGACTAAAAGGAAAATGGCAGACTTGTAGTCAATTTTCTTTAAACATGCTGTCTCTACAACCACTCTATATATCAATAATATATTCTGGTTCGTTGGGGTTACAGCCAATTCGGGATACGTCTCGGTTAACTGACTTTTGAACCATTCTGCAAATATTTTCTATGATAACTTTTAATATAATAAAAAGAACGTTTGTGCTTAAGAATAGAATAATATAACTTATGTTTACACCACATTTTGTATATTGTGTGTGTGTGTGAGTGAGTGGATATATGTGATGTGTAGTATACAGTGGCGCACTCAGCATTTAACCTTGGGGGGGCCGAGTTAAATCGATAAAATCTTTTTAATACGAATTCAACGAAAATTTCCATTATTATGTGACTGCTAATTCATAAGTCGTATACGAATAATATAGAAATAGAAGACACGACACAAAATAAATAAAACAAACACATTAATTAGGAAAATATTTTTGGAAAACTTTTTAGTATTTCTTTCCTTTTTCTTTGGAGGGTGCCAAAGTCCTTTGGCCCCGCAGAGGGGCGAACAAGAAACCTTGACATCCTCCAAAATGTAGATATCAGAGATGAAGGCACTGTACGAATCCTACTCAAAACTATGTATACATACATATGTTAGGAATGTACACATAGTTTTGTATGTACAGTGGAACCTCGGTATACGTCTGCTTTAGAATACGTCCAATTCGGAATACGTCCTGTTTGGACGAAACAAATTTTGCTCGGTATACGACTTTTGTTCGGTATACGACATAATTATACGCGTCATCAATGAACAAGTAGCACTATCGGTGTACTAGACCAGACTAGACGTTCGTGGTGCAACGGTTTATAACTTTGTTTAATTTCTTCTGATTTTAATTCGTAAGTAAAATTTTATTATATTTATTAATCACGAATCCCAAAAAGGCAAATGAAAAGCGACAGAAAACTAAAAAAATGACTAGAATTACAATGGAACTGATGAAAGAGATTGTTGAGAAATACGAAGGTGGCATGCGTGTTCGAGATTTTAACTGTTGTTTACCGTATTCCGAGAAC